TATTGTTAAATATAGGAATGTCACTCTTGGTACACGCGTCGACCAATTGACATATATTATAATTAATATATTTTAATTGTATTTTTACCTAAGTAAATTTAGTCTAGAATATTTTTTTTTTGTTTTCTTTGCGCTCCTCGGTTGCAGCCAATTTTAAATCGATTGCTTGGGTACCTCTATTCCCATTCGTGTTCCTGCCGTGAAGCAGTTGTGTTTGCATGGTTGTGTTTCGGTTTGAAGGACAAGATATGGCGTGAATTTACAGGGTACAGAGGAATAACATCTGAATCCTCAGGAATGGTAACGCATGGGGGGTATCATGGGCGAAACAGTATACTCTGTTATGTCCATGGCACCTCTCATGTCTATAGGCAACGGTTACCACTTTCCATCTGGTGGTCTGTCAGCTTATTTGCCATTCTAAGTTGTATAAAAAAAGCTATTTTATCTAGCTTTTAGACATTAAATTATTTAAATAATTTTATACATTTGTCTGCGATGTTTATTATAATTGAGTCCAAATATATCAAGGTCAGCCTGATGAGCATCATTATATGATCTACACATAATCGGTATAAGGTTATTGAAAGATACTGTATGTTATTTCTATAAAGAGGCGTACTGTGAAATTTTAGTCGATATGAGTTCGGCAGTCTCAAAGATTATGAGCGGGTCCCCATAATAGATTTTTTAATATAAAAAAAGGTAATTTTTAGTTTTTTTAAATGTAATATTTTCATTCTCGCTGTATAGTTAGCATCGGGACAAGCGCCTAATATAGAGATGTTGCTTCCTAACTTCTCTTCAGTAGCATCCGGTTATTAATGACCATAAGTTTGTAATTTATTAATGCAATCATCAGCATTGAGACAAGTGCCTAACACTGAGATATTATTCGATAACTTGTCCTCACTGACATCCAAATATTAATGAGCAAGTCACTTTGTAATTTATTAATGTCACTAAGAAAATGTTCTGATTTCATACACAGGTGTTTTCATGAAACATATGTATATTTGATGTATTATACAATTATGTGGTGTATTATATTTATATTAATATTCATACAAAGCTTTCTGTTTGCAAAAAAATATTCAAATATGTTTAGCCATTTAGAATAGAAATAACCTTTGTTTATAGCCGTGTGGTCCCGGCATAAAATAGGCCACCCCTTTCTTTTCTGTGTGTCGTAAGAGGAGATTAAGGGACAGCGAGGGATGTGCAGCAGCGTCCTTCTTAAAACTTATACAAAACAATTGCATTGCATCCGCCTGATAAGCATGGCGACTACTGGCATAACCCCCTAAGGGGGAGACTTATATTCAGCAGTGAACGGTTAAGAGCTTAAATGGTGATGATGGTGAGACTTTGTTCAAATAGATTTAAACAACTAATTATAATGTAATTTCGTTCAAAATTCGATTAAAAGTATTTCCATTCAATAAGTGTTACTATTTTGTAGATGAGTAATTTAATGACAACAATAAATGAATAATAACAATTTTTAAGCAATAATATTAAGTTATTATATGTATAAATAACATATTATATATAAATAATAAAAAATAAATGTGAAATAATTAATCTATTTGTATAACTTTGTATTGATTGTATGTGAATATAATTAAAAAAGAAAAACAATTTAAATTGTATTGACTGTAAATAAACTGTAAATTTAATTTATAATGTTTGTAATGGTATTATGTAGGATCTATCCTATAAAATGTGCTTTGGATAAATAAATAATAATAATAAACAAACTCTTTTAAGTGGTAACTTTTTATAAATAGTAAATATTCGACTGCGGGGTTCGGAATGTTGTTATCTACTGAGAACTCCTAAGAAACTAAACAGTTCCTCTATCGAATTCTTTTTTACAAGATAATTTTACATTTGTATGGATGCTGTGATTATAGGAACCATTAAGTTCTATTTATATATATTATACGTGATTTCGTACTAAATTGAAATATTTATGATTAAAGTGTTGCCAGATTGTTTTTTTTTTTCGTAATTTAAGGATACAATGTTTGTGTTCGCAAAATGTTGGAGAAATGTATTTTTTTAATGTTATTTTTTTTAAAAAAAAAACTTTATGAATAAAATTAAAATTATATTGCAATATGATGAAAATTATATTGAAATGTTAAATGCAATAAAATATAGCAATAAAGGTAACAACAAGAGGTGAAGATGCCAGCGGCTTTTTTCATATCTTCGTCATTTGGGTAGAGGTTACTCGGAAATATGTAGTAAAAACCGACAGAAGTCTGTGACTTGGTAAAAGTCAACGAAATCGTATCAATTTGAAGAAATTTTGCAATTTAGGTAAAATTTAAAATCGCATCTGGTATAACTGTTAACAAAATATCTCGTTGTGTTTTTTTTAATATGTGATAATAGAATGGTAGCCCGCCTGCGCTATCGGTATACGCTGGCGAGGCACCAGTGACGGATGATAGGTGACAATGAAAAAGCAGGTCAGTTAGCCAATCGTGACGAATTCCACTAGAATTAATCACGATAGTTTCCAGGGTGAACCGCGTGGAGGTCGACCTGTTAGGGTGTATTGCTAGTTATATGGAAATCAGACCCCATTACTAACAATCCCTTTCCCCCCAATATCTCTTTGTGTTGAAACACAGTATTTGTATGCGTTTATGATTATACTCGTACACAATGTACTTGTTTTAATATATTTTATAGACATAATTAAAATTCGCATCTGCCATTGTACTACAATCATTGTATTTTTTGTATGCTTTCAAAGCCAGACATAAAAGCTGGTAAAAATTAATTTTACGTTTTCCGAAATGCATTAAAATAATGTGTAATGAATATTATAGCACTCCGTCCTCTTTATTATTTTTATAACAAATAAAAAATATTGGGATGAGAATAATTTTTTAAACTTTTTGTAGCTTCCATATATTACTTTATATTTAGCTCTGATAATTAATTAAAAAATTACTGGTAATTAATTACTAATAATTAATTATTAACGCCGTAAAAATATGACCCCGGCATAGAATAGGCCACCCCTTCCTTCCCCGTGATTGTCGTAAGAGTCGACTAAGGGAGGGCGAGGGATGGGCAGCAGCTCTCTTAAAACATCTCTTAAAGCCTAACTGCGGTTGCCAATCCGCCTGCCAAGCGTGGCAACTACTGGCAAAACTTCCCTTATGGGAAAGGCTTATGTTCAATGGTGAACAGTTAAAGGCTGAAATAATAAAAAAAAATTATCAACGCGCTAAAGTTTAATTGCTGTAGTGACTACTAAATAAACTCTTTATTAGTTACTGCAATAATAGTAAACAGATTCAGTTAAATGTTTGGCTACTATAACTAATGTTTGAAACTTTATATTTAACTAGTATTTATCCCCAACTTCGTAAGCAACGAGTTTTAAAATAGGAAAACTAATGTAATAGACTATTTCTAGATATCCGTTTCAAAATATAATTTGATACAACATAAAATCAATTGATGCTTGATGCCAAAACAAACATTGTGTTTTTTTATACCACTGAGGTGGCAAACAAGCATACGGCCCACCTGATGGTAAGTGCTTACTGTAGCATATGAACACCTGCAATACCAGAGGTATTACGCGCCCGTTGCCGACCCTGAAGATACCTCTTTACCTCCCTTTTGAAAAACCCCATGCTGTAGTTTTTTGGGAAAACTTCGGCAGGGAGCTCATTCCATAACCTGAGTGTTCGTGGGAGGAAACATCTCTGAAACCGCGCTGTACGCGACCATGTTTGATATGTTTGATAAACAGGCAAAAATATAACCAATTATTACTTTACCGTTTATTGCTTTCATTAAACCCCTTCAATATGTTTTTTTTTTTCTTAAAACATATCCTAGGCATAGACATCGTCGACATTGTACCTAAATGATTATTTGAGGTCAGCTTGATTTGAAACAGCCAGTACTTAGTAGCTGTTTCAAATTCTTTATTTACAAGAAATACAGGTAGTCAGGTACAATACGAGGACATTATATAGAAACATAAAATGTATATGCCACGTTCCCTTGTTTTGTCTGCATGAATTAATATGTGAAGTATCCTGTGGATGATTGCAACCTCTTTTGTTCCCTTTTTGTTTCCCCTGTCACTGGTCTTCTTTTGTTTTTTCATTGTAAATTAAACTTTTAAAATATACGGAGCTGTTTATTGTTATAAGACAATTACTTATTTATTACTGATACGTATTTGACTTAAAGGTTATCTCTGGCAATTGAACGTGGAAATGCCGTTATGGGTCCTTTGGATCGAGTACGGAACGTGAAGATAATTATGAATAATTAGTTCATTTTTGTTATTTTTATGTAAGTAATATTTAACTGTTACTGTACTGATACTACAAAAAGTATTATATATTTAATTAAATTGTAAATTATTTATTAATAAATACGATATAGCATGTACGAAGCCGTTAACTGTCCACTGCTGAATACAGGCTTCACCTATAAAGAGATTTTCCGGTAGTAGCCATGTTTGGCAGGCGGATTGGCAACCGCAATTAGGCTTTTACAGATACTTTAAGAGGGATGCTGCTGTCGATCCCTCCACCATGAGCTCCTTTAGTCGACTCTTACGATACCTACGGAAAGGAAGGGGTGGCCAATTCTATACCGGGACCCAGGTGGAGAATCCATGAATACTCTACTATAATTATATAATATCAATATTTAAACAAATTTATTTTATACATATTTATTCACAATATAGTTATTAATATAGATAAAAAAAATAGTCATTTACTATTTACCATAAAATCCTACATATTCCCTAATATATTCTACATGTAGTATAATCTACACATGTACGAAATTTCATTCAAATCTGTCCAGCAATTTAAAAGTGATCGAGTAACAAACATTCTATAACCTTCAATTATTTTTGCAAACTTTTATAATATTAGTGAATAATAAAGATTAAAGCTGTGCTACGACCTAGCTACATGTTAATAGCTGCGTAGAGCTACTAGCAACGGCCTACAGTCGAATGGTAGCGACGGCGGCAGACGGCCGAGCCGTATTCAGACGTACGGCGCGAAGTTTTGCGAGGTTACCGCGCGTCTTTTTCGATATATGTCATCGAAATTACTTAATTAAAATGCTTATTAATATCACAGATATAAAATATTATTGTTGTGTGTAAATTTATGTGTTTTTCTTTTTAATAATGTGTAACAATGTGTTATAATAAATAATAGTTTATTAAGAAAGAAACAAAGTTTTATTCTGTGATTGGTGATTGGTCGTAAAGATTTAGTTTGCTGAATTGAAACTGGTGAGTTTATATTTTAATTAGTTTTTTTTTTTTAATTAATAAATTAATTTTAGTACAAACTTCTTTAACGGAATATTTAAACAGCAATGTTTAAAGAACGAAATCATAATTTTGAACTACAACGATCTGAAACTTACATCGTGTTTATTCTCACCTTGCCTTTATTTGTTTACTTTATAAAGTATAGTATGATAAATATTTACTTATAAAATACACACATAAATTGATGTACTGTTCTCTAACAAGACCAGTATACATGAAATATAAACATAAAATTTAAAATTGCTCAATGTAAGTCTATCTAAATTAATGTTAAACGAGGAAATGTTTTTTTTTTATTTCTTTTAAAACATTTTTCACCCTTTAGAAATCTACGTTAACATGAGGTGTGCCTACATTATTTAAAAAAAAAATACTTATAGACTAGAAATAAGTTATTAGTATAATAAAAAAAGTAGTTCCGATTTCACATCTTCCTTTTAAGAGAATATTTTAATAGAGAAACTAAACCGGATTAAAAAAGAAAGAGGTTATGGAGTCGGTTGCTTTTTTTTTATTTTTGTTACCTCATAACTCTCAACCGTCAATTGTAAACCGATTTGGAAAATTCTTTTGAATAATACGCTTAAAGGTTGTTCCCATGAAAGTTTTATCATAATCGGTTCAGTAGTTTAGTTATTAAATCAAAATAACCAGTTTTGTCACAATTGAAGTCGGATTTTTTGTAGAACACAATTTACGAGTAATTATTCTGAAATTGTCAAAAATTACCAAAGAGTTAAGCCTACTATTACATACTATTTTTTAGCCGTAGTGGCTATGGTTAAGAATATGGTTTTCGAAAGTAGGAGGACCACTGTCCCATTCGTGTTTCAACCGTGAAGCAGTTGTGTTTGCATGACTGTGTTTCGGTTTAAAGGGTGGGATATGACAGTGAATTTACTGGGTACAGAGAAATAACACCTGAGTCCTCAGGAATGGCAACGTATGTGGGCTATCATGGGCGAAACAGTATACTCTGTTATGTCCCTGTTATTGCTCATGTCTATAGGCGACGGTTACCACTTTCCATCAGGTGGGCTCTCAGCTTGTTTGCCATTCTAAGTTGCATAAAAAAAAAAGTTATTGAAATAGAATTTTCGCCGTTATCTGATATCAATGATTTCTAACCGGGCCTCTGTGTGTCGATGTATTCGAATATAAATTCATACTTCTAATGCGATATTGAAATGTCTAAAATAAGAAGCAATCAAGTAACTGACGAGTTTAAATCGTGAAATCTCGTTACAGTACACAGTTCGTTTGAGATTATCTTTAGATGTAAAAAGTGTTTAGAGCTCCTGAGATTACTCAGTAATAGGAGTCTACCTTAATTATACTAGTATATATATTTTTTTATACAACTTAGAATGGCAAACAAGCTGACGGCCCACCTTATATAAAGTGGTAACCGTCGCCTATAGACATGACCATGGACATAACATACTGTGTCGCCAATGATACCCCCCATGCGTTGCCATTCCTGAAGACTCAGGTGTTATTCCTCTGTACCCAGTAAATTCACGCCATATCCCATCCTTCAAACCGAAACACAGCCATGCAAACACAACTGCTTTACAGTTGAAACACGAATGGGACAGAGGTACTCAAGCAATCGACTTTTGTACAAAGTCTCCCTCTGGTACGAGGTCTGTCCGGAAAGTTCGTATAAAAGTGTTCTGGAATGCGAGAAAGAGGAGTGGGGAGGCCAGGTAAGCGCAGGACCCCTTCCTTATGTCCCTAACAATGCTTCATGACCGCCGTGCGGTGCGAACTGGCTTGTCACGCCATCTGTGAAGTTACCTCTTAACGAAACCCCGTCGGCATGGAGCCCGCTTCCGTTGAAGAGCAGCGCGTCGTAATCAAGTTTCTCTCGAAACTCGGCAAGAATGGCCGTGAAAGCAAAGAGTGGAAGACATCCGGGGAACCACGAACAAAAAAATCAAGAAAATCCCGCTCAAATGTCAAGACAATGTTGATTGTTTTTTTCGATGTTCGGGGGATTGTCCATCAAGAATTCGTCCCTCCAGGCCAGACAGTTGATGGAAAATTCTACGTCGATGTGCTCAGACGCCTCAAAGCTCGTGTGGCACGAGTTCGTCCAGAATTGGCGCGAGAGGGGCGTTGGATTCTTCACCACGACAATGCCCCTGCCCACACCTCTCTTGTTGTCCGTGAGTTTTTGAGTAAAAATTCCATTACGGTGACCGAACCCCCCCTATTCGCCGGATTTGGCCCCGTGTGACTTCTTCTTGTTCCCAAAAACCAAATTGGTACTTCGGGGGCGGCATTTGGGGGACATAAATGAGATAAAAAAAGCTACGACGGGGCAGCTGAGAAACCTACAACCAGAGGACTTTCAAGGAGCCTTCTCACAGTGGAAACGGCGTTGGCACAAGTGCATTATGTCACAGGGGGAGTACTTTGAAGGGGATAAAATTGATTTACCTGAATAATTGTAAAATAAAATTTTTAAAAACCTTTTATACGTACTTTCCGGACAAACCTCGTATGTTTTATTTTAATATACTAATATATTACAGAGGACAAAAATTATTAATAATGCGGACTAACAAATCTATTCTTTTTTAATGGCTAAAAATGAAATAGTAACCCTACCTGCGCTATCGGTACACGCTGGCGGAGCACCAGTGAGTAATGATAAGTGAGGATAAAGCGGGTCAGTTGACTCATTTCTCATAAGTTAACCTCTGCACGGCTACTCTTGGAAACCATCGTGGTTAATCCTTGTTGAATTCATCAGGAAGGGTTTTTTGACGTGCTCTCATTCTCACTTATTATCTCTCATTGGAGCACCAGAGTATATATATTCCATTATCCATATTGTATATATATATTCCAATATCATTTATCACCCATTAAAAAAAATCTCTATTGCCACATGATATAAACAGAAGACCCTGAAATTAATATGTATGGTTTTAGATAACATGCAAAGTAATCACTTAAAAGACTTGTTGATGGATTGGTCGACTTAAGCATTAATCTCTTAATGTTAACAATATTATTATAAAGTTAATTAATTGGCTATTGATATATTGAACTTGTCAGAGGCGATTAAGGGAACTTAATGGTCGAGGAATGGGCAGCAGCGTCCCTCTTAAAACATCACCAAAGCTTAACTGCGGTTGCCAAACTGTTCGATAGCGTGGAAACTACTAGCAAAACCCCCCTTATGAGGACAACCTGTCTAACAGTGATATAATTAGACGAGTATATATATATTTTAACCGTATGGTCCCAACATAGAATAGGCCACCCCTTGCTATCCTATGGATGTTGCAGCATCCCTCTTAAAACATCTCTAAAGTCTGACTGTGGTTGCCAACCCGCCTGCCAAGCGTGGCAACTACTGGCAAAACCCCACAAGGGAGAGGCCTATGTTCAATAGTTAAACTCTAATATGATATATATAATAAGGATGTTTCAACAGAACTTAATTGTAAACAAACAAACAAATAACTGACTCAACGAAAAGACAGTCTGCTGATATGCAATAGTAGTTCAAATAAAATTTTGTTTAATCGATTAAGCGTTTCGATTTGTTATTAATTGCATTTGGAGAGTGTTTCTGTGATAATTTAACTTAAACAAACAACTTCCTTACCTTTTCAACCTACTTCAAAATAAAGGAAGTTCATAATTTGGTCGTATTGTTACGTTACAACTACGTTTGTTATAAACCGATTTTATTTTTTTTATCTGAAAGGATTCAGATAAAATGAATAATTTATCAAATCTCAAATATTTATTTATTTATTCATTAAAAATAATTATAACATTATAACAGCAAAAGCCAAATCAATGTTATAAATCTAGTGTGCTAACATACAAAATTATAATAAATGTATTTAACCCGACTCTAGATATTTCTAGATATTTTTGAATATGACATATTTGGCCTACTAGAAATTTTATTAAAATCGGTTTCAGTAGTTCAATTTTTAAATCAACTACCTGGTATTACCACAATTCAGTCGGTCGGTTTTTTTGACACAATTTAATTAAGTTTCTTTCATTAAGTTGAAATAGACAAGATGGCTCTCGATGTCTACTCCATCTGTACGTAAACAGAGTTAAATCAATGTCATTAGTATCTTTTTACGGGAGTGTTCTGGCAGTGAATTAAAAATCGTTACCCTGAGAAATACGAGTCGTAAAATGACAAAAAATCTAAAGCCTCCCCTGGTACCGTGACAAGAGGACGTTCTGTTTTAATAAGGCTCAATTTTTCTGACATTTTCCGAACCATTTTTATTAAGAAATATTCTCAAAAAGGATGCTAATGACTCCCAGTGGAGGAGAGCTTATTTTTTATTAATGACTATCATATTATCATCAAAAACTCGTTCGATTGATTTTCCTTTTTTTTATTTCAAATTAAGTAGTTATTTATTGTCAACAAAGAAACGAAACGGCTTTATTGACGTTCTACTATGTATTTAATATTAACAAAAATGTTTTCTACCCAAAATCTGCCGTGTGGTCCCGGCATAGAATGGCCCAATTCGTCATTAATCAATTCTACATACATACATACATGCATATCTGTCACGCCTGTCACCCATTTGGATAGACAGAAACAATGGAATGCCAAATGCTTCAGTTCAAACAAACCTCCTTCTCTTCTTCCACATTCATCAATCGTTTCATACACGCTCGCCGGTTACGGGTACTTTTAATTAAGTCCTTCTTCAGCACGTCGCCTATTTGGTCGATATATGTCCGTCTAGGGCGGCCCTTACCGACATCTCCCTTCAATCTTGCTCGATAAATCTCTTTCGTAATTCTTCTTTTATCCATCCTCTCCAAATGGCCAAACCAACGCAACATTCCTTTTTCGATTTTTGTCACTACATCGTATTTCAGTCCACACTTCTCTCTAATTCAAAATGAATCAAAATCAAAAAATCTATTGTAATACCAGATTTAAATCTTAT